GTGTTTGAACACTGTGTGAATTATTATGATGAATGCCAAAATGGTATAGCCCAGATATGCCTTAGGAATGTCGTATATTTCCAGGAAGATGTCATTCATCATACACACAAAAAGATTTTTAAATTCTTGTGAGGTAATGTTGTCGGTCATATTACAGGAATTACTCAAAATTTGTTAGTCAATTTTAAGGTGTAAAATTATCAAGTACCTTTTACTTGAAACAATATGCTTACCTTTCGTGGGTTTTGGGGCATGTAGTAGCACTTTTCAGCCAGCAGGTGGCATTGGTACAGCTCCAAAACAGGGCCTCCTGGCGATCTTGGCTGGAGTCGGAGGGAGATGGCGGAAATCGGAGCTAGCACTCCCCTGCCTCTTTTGCTGGTCTGGGGCTAAGCTAGGGAATTGAGATCGGACTAGCTGCTCCCTTTTTTGGGAATGGAACCGTGTAGGTGTTCCCTGGTTATATGGAACTTTGCAGGCGGGTTTAGGTACCCGCCAGCTAGGGAGGAGAGGGCGGGAGCTGCCCAGGCCTTTGGAGTTTGCCCCACGTGAGCGCCAGATATTGGAGAAATTATTTTGGCCACTCCACGTAGTTAAAAGGATATTTATTTAATTGCGTAACTCACAAATTAAGTAATAGGTAGGTCGCAGGGTCTGGGGAAGGTGTAATGCAGTCCAGCGGTGTTCTCCGGAGCTCTGCACAGTCCACCTTCACCATTCAGCCTCCCGGGACAGAGAGAGCGCACAGAGAGAGCGCTGGCCCATCCAGCTCTCGGGTCTCCAGGCGCCTCCCCTCGCCCCACCTCGTAGGCGTGACAGTTGCCAGAGTCTCAATGGGGGTTGGAACTTCCAGATCCAAGCTGGAATGGCTACCCACTACAGAAAGAGATCAAAGGGATATAAATCTGAAAGGAATAAGTCAAAGTATCTTTATTTGCAAATGATAGTACATACAGGTGACCCAAAAATTCCATCAGGAGAAACCTCCAGTTCACAAACACTTTCAGCAAAATACCTGGATACAAAAACAACTCACAAAAATGAGTAGCCCAACTATATACAAAAGACAAAAGAAAAAGACTGGTATAATTCTACTATACTCATAGATCAATGCCTTGTTCAGCTATCACCAGAGGCTTCCTCCTATAGCAGATGGGAATAAACAGAGTCACAACCAAAAAAATACAGAGAGTGAGAGACATTGGAACAATCAGCTTTAAACTTGATGTCTCTATCAAATACCTCTCCTCAGGACTAAGGGAACCCTGAAGAAGAGGAGGCAGAAAGAATATAAGAGACAGAGGGGTGGAGGACCCCAAGAAAACAAACCTCCAAATCAACAGGACTGAAGCATATGTGAACTCACAGAGATTGAGGCAGCATGCACTGGGATTGCAGGGGTCTGCACCAGATTGAATCCTAGAGCTGAAAGTAGACATATGCCCCCATCTCTAACCCAGAAGCAATCTCCAATTGATAATCATCTGCTAATAAAAATTTAGTTTGCTCAGGCCGGGCGGTGGTGGCGCAAGGCCGGGCGGTGGTGGCGCACGCCTTTAATCCCAGCACTTGGGAGGCAGAGGCAGGCGGATTTCTGTGAGTTCGAGGCCAGCCTGGACTACCAAGTGAGTCCCAGGAAATGTGCAAAGCTACACAGAGAAACCCTGTCTCGAAAAAACAAAAACAAAACAAAACAAAAAAAATTTAGTTTGCTCCAAGGGAGTCTCACTGGGAAACTACTCTTAAGGGTAGCCTACATTAACAACAGTACAAAGCCAACAGAAAATGAACACAATGGCATCTTTGGATGTTCCTTGTCTCATAATGTTGTGTCAGGGCTTTCTACTTGTTTTTTGTTTATTTGTTTTCTTTTTAATTTTATCTTACTTTTATTTAATTTTTTTGGTTTATTTTTATATTTATATATTTATATATTTATATATTTATATATTCTCTCTAATTACCCTACAGGTTCTTTGGGTATATATTATGGTTTCCAGCTTAGTGTTTTTTTTATAGGATTTCTGAGACCTACCCAAACAAGTGGAACTTGTCTGTACCTGTTTCTTCTGTCTTTTCTAGGGTTCTTTTCCTTCTGTTTGTTTGTTTTGTTGTAGTCTGATGCATTAGTTTTTGTTTTATGTTCTTATATTTCACTTTATTATTGTCCCTTAGGGAGGGAAAAACAAAATAAAACCAACCAAACAAAAAGATATACCCTCAGCAAGAAGGAAGGGTCATGGTCACAATCATAGTAGGTAATAGACAAAGAAAAATCTATTCAAATACAAAACAAAGAATATTACTAACCAGGGACAAAATGGCCCATTCATTATAAGACTATGTGATCAATATGGACACATTTTACAAAACATTTTCTAAGATAAGGCAAGCCTTGGTATATTTTCAGGGAAAAAAAATGGACAGTGGTGCTGGGAAAGGTCAATACTCCACAGTCACTGAAGAGAATGAAATCAGACAGGATATTAGTAGAGAAAGCAGACCATGAACAGTACACAGAGCCAATTATGCCTAGCAGGCCTGCAGAGAATCAGACACACAACAGCAGAAGGATTCAAACTTCTGAACCATCAAGTAACACTCTTCTGTACTGTAATGCCTCATATATAAAACAACCAATCTGGAATAAGGACATCAATAGCAGCTAGAGTATAGACAATAACAGCAGATAGAAAACATAATACATAAATGGTATGTGAATACCGACACATGGTTAACATGCTCTTAATCTTACAAGAGAACAAAATGTAGGAGGAAGTTAGTCCTCTGAAAAGATTTAATGCAATTTGTATCAAAATCCTACTGACATCTTTTTTGCAGACATTAATCCTAGAAGGATATACAATTTTGAGAAAACACAGAGTTCAAAGATCTTTGAAAAAAAAGAGAAAATTTAGAGGTGACTTCAAAATACATTCAAATTATTGTGAAATCACGTGGTACTGGCATGAAGACGGACAACCAGAGATAGGAAGGGGAAGGCGATGTATGGAGTTTAACACTTTGTGAAGATACTAAGCAATTCTTATCAAAATTCTCCTAGAATTGTTAGAGAAAATGGAGAAATTAACTCTAACAGATATAAAAATCTGAAGAAACTACAAATAGCTTTGAAATTGAGAACAGGAACAAATTTAGAGGCATCAATTTTCCTTTACAATATATTAAAATTATAGTGATGAAAACCATGTAATACTGGTATGAAAGCACAGAGACATGAATGGAACAGGGACATCATAACTCACAAGCATAGTCAAGTAAAACTATATGTATATGTATATCCACACATAGAAAGTCTAATGTCTACAACAGGGCAATCCTGAAGAGATTCTTCTCAGCAGTCTTGTCTATAATCATTTCTAGTAAAACAAAATGTGGTCAAACCCTTTTCACATCAGGTTTCCACTTTCATGAAAACCTGAACCTGGGCCCTGCCTCTACCCTCCCTGGTACCTTTGTTACTGCCTCTTCACTTTCCAAGGCTCTTTGTTTTGCTCCAGACAGGTGACCAGGTGTCATCAGTGTGAGATTTGCATGTGAGAAACAGATTGATTCATTAAGTACTTAGATCAAATACAGTGCTGTGCCCTATGAAGAGAAAACAAAAGAGGACTCTAGAAATTACTTCCCAATTGTTATTTCCTGTCAGAATATTGAAAATATTTAGATTCATATGTGTATCTTGAGTCCCAATTCTAATTACAGCTCAGTCAAAATTCTAGAGTAGAAACAGAACTTTATGATTGGGTGATAATATTGTACATTATTGAGTTTCTTAATTATTCATGGAACAGAATGGAAGAAGTTTAACCCCTCCAAAAGGACAAACATGAAGAAAAGACAAAACGTCATGAAATCACTCCTTTCTCCTCTGAGATTTTCACTTTGCTCTATGAAATGTAAGACTCATCAACACAAAGCTCACACCTAACACACATGCAGAACCATTTATTTGCAAGGAACCCGAGAATAAGGAAGAAGCACTGAAAAACAAACAAAATCTCTTCTTACCCACAGAAATCAGACTGCTGTAGTTCTCTATCAGCAGGTTTTTGTCCAAAGCTCTCTGGGCAGGGTCTAAGTATTCCTCCTTCTCCAGGCAAATTCCACAGTCACATCACTGCATGTCAACAATGAAATAAAACACAACAGCTTGGGCATGTGTCTGTCCACTGCAAGAGAACGTTTCTTGAATCAAGTAAACAAAAGAGACATCTTTCTGATGAAGATGAGTTATCATAATTATTCAAAAGATGCTTTCTGGCATCATCCTGTTCTATAGTGCATTTTCTGGCTATAAAAATAGTAGGAAATGATCTCCTCACACTCAGCATGCACGCTGTGTTTGTCTGGACCCTAAAGTGTAATATTAAGACCTCAGCATAAGAATGTGCATTTCTGATAGCTGTATTTACATCACAGAGTGTATGTATCTCAGATGGAACACTAACAATTAATGTTTAGAACTGTAACTGTGGGGCTTGCTCACATATTTATTCTCATTCAATCAAATCGGAGTCTTTCCTACCTGACAAACTAACAAGCTCTCTTGGCCAAAGTGCCAGGTACTAATGATATGGCCTTAGATATCTGATTGGGAGAAAAGGACGTTAGAATTCATGGATGACTTTAAATTAGGAAACGCTTTGTTTTTCCACAACAGCAAAAAGAACAACAATTAAAGTATTTCTTACAGTCTCACAGGCGTTGTTCTTAATTTACAAACATCAACAAGTACATTCAAATTATCTACGAGATTATTGTTATGAGAATATTCAGGCATATGAGATAAATAATTACAACTAGGATTACCCAGTTCTTATTACCAAAACTTTACACTGAAGGATAAAATATTAGCAAACAGTATTTTCTAGCTGGTTTCCTTAATGAACATCAAACCCTGGTCCTTTTCCTCCGAAATCCACCGCTGCGCTGACCTGATAGTTTTCCAGACCCCGGCCTGTGGTTCCCGCCACCGTGATGCTCTGACTGGGGTGAGTTTTGCAGTCCGTCCCACGTGACTCTCGTAGCTCCGGTGAGCTCTCACGTCCTGGTTGCCTCGCTGGAACCCGGTCTCGGCTCCCCCTCTGCCGTTTACTCTAGCTGCAGGGGGTTAGTCTGGATCCCTGAGTTTTCCAGTCCCGGTAGCCTCTGCTCATTTTCTCTGGCTCCTCCCACTACGCCATCAGTTCCGGAACGTCACAGCCTTGACTCCCGCCCACACCACAGGCTTGAATTTCTCAAATTCACTCTTACTGTTTCTCTACCCGCCCCCATCACTCCTGTCACGTGGATGAACGTCTCTCCTCCCCATTGAGAGCGGCCACGCCCACTCTGTGTCTGGCTTCCTACCCCAGAGCTGCTGCACCTGGGCTCTCTCCTATACAACCGCTCCACATGCTTTCTTTCGGCTTGGAGCAGACCCTGATCCAGAAGGACACTGTCGTGTCCTGACCCCTCACCCTGGTCTCTGACGACTTCAGATACAAGAGATCCAGCCTAACAAGGCATTCCAGCCCCTTAGGGAAAAAATATGTGCCAAAAGAAAGCTAACAACCTAAATCCCCAAGCACAAACATGTAACAAATTAAAATCCAAACAGGGTGCCTGTAATGGTAGTACCATGGAGAGGATGGGGTTAGGAGTAGGCTGGGCATGGTGGCTCAGCTCCAGGTTCAGTGACAGAACTTGTCTGAAAGGAAATAGGCCAAGAATGGTATAATAAGATACTCTATGCTCTTCTCTGACATCAGAGATGTGAACAGGCACCTTCACAGGAGTAGACCCACATAGAATTATTAAAACAACTAAAAATGGGAAAAATCAGTTCAACTTGGGAAGGCCAGGCCTCACGCAGTACCCGTCCTCTTTCATTTGTGTCCTGGACTGAAGAGATGGCTCAGAGGTCGGTATGCTTATTGTGGGGCAGTGGGACTGGATTTGGGATCCCAGCAACTACTTAACTAGCCTGGTGTCTTTCATATGCTAGGAACCCAAGCTGGAGGTTGAGTTGGGTGGGCTCAGACAGGAGGATCTGTTCAGCTTGCTGGCCTAATGAACTCAGCCCCAAGTTCAGGGAGAGACCCTACCTAAGTGATAGAGGAGGACACCAAATGTCCTCTTATGGCTTCTGTGAGGGGACAGGAGAGTAGATTCAGGCACACACTCGTGTGATCACACACACACACACACACACACACACACACACACACACACACTACCACCTTGGCACACATAAAATACATCGCAGATTATAAAAGAGGGGAAAAAACAAAACAAAACATCAAGGGAGGAATAATAGGTATCTAGAGCTGGCAAGATGTACTCAGCACATCAATATGCTTGCCACCAAGCTTGATACCCAGAGTACAAACCCTGAGATTCACATGTGGAAGGAGAGAATAGACTCCCACAAGTTGTCCTCTGACTTCCATGTGCTTGTGATGACATGCCTCTTTCCCACATACATCTAAATGTGAAAATGTTTAAAAAAAAATAAAAAGGTCTCTGGACTTGATTCTTCCCTTCCACAAAAGCTCCTAAGTGTTTTTGACAATAAGGGCTCAAGCTGGAGGGAGGAGGGAGAAAGGTTGCTCTGGTATGTTTGTGGCACAGCCCCTTCCAGCTTCGAACTCTCCTAGGTACAAGCCATAGACAACCCACAATTCAGACAAGGGGTTGGATGTAAATATCCTCCATACCAAGTGTATGTATTAGCCTAGCTCTTGTGCTGCCATGCTATAGCACCAAAAAATTAAAATTAGAGGTAGTCTCAGCTGGGGAGTTGGCCAGTGGGTATCAGTACTTCCTCTGCAAGCATGATGACCCAAGTTGGAATCCTAAGTACCCAGTTAAAAATGAGAATTATCGGCTGGGTGGTGGTGATGCATGCCTTTAATCCCAGCACTTGGGAGGCAGAGCCAGACAGATCTCTGTGAGTTCCATGTCAGCCTGGTTCTCAGAGTGAGTTCCAGGAAAGGCACAAAGCTACACAGAGAAACCTTGTCCTGAAAAATAAACGAGAAAGAGAGAGAGAGAGAGAGAGAGAGAGAGAGAGAGAGAGAGAGAGAGAGAAGAGCAGCATTGTCTGCAATTGTGTGTAACTATAGCATTGGGTAGGTGGAGACAGGTAGGTTTTGAGAACTAGCCTACCAGCCAGCCTGGGGTTGAAACCCTTGAAATACATGCTACTTGGTTCTCTCCTTTTTCCAGGCATGGTATTCATGACCCATAACTTAGAACTGGTTGTGAAGAAGAAGGGCTAAGACTGGTTGTGAATCCCCAGGACTGGATTTTGGAGGATAAGGATATATATGTGTGAGAGAGCAACCAGAGGCACCTAAGCTAAATTCTGAGCAGCTATAGGGTACTTGAAACTTTCTCTTGTCTTTAGGTTTCCCATAGCTAAGCTGGTCACTCACTTGGGGCTAATCTTAAGGCACCTTCCTCACCAGACCTGCCACTGGCCCAGACAAACCCAAATGCTCTACCCTATCTGTAGACCAACCATTGATGCAGTTAGGGCCGTTCTCTGGTAGAATAGAGTGAGGGTTACAAAAAAGGCTGGGGGAGTCAAGAGTCTGGTCCCACCATGATGCTCATCCCCAGGCTGCTGCTGCACTCCAGCTTCCTGTCCACCCTGTGACTCAAAAGGAAGCTTGTAGCCTGGGTCTTCTTGCAGATACCTGTGGAGGATGCAGCCTTCTGTCTGTGCCTTAGTGGACTTTCTTTTCAGATATTGGTGTCTGAGACCTGGGGTGAGTTAGGAAGACTTGGTGCAGGTGAAAGGGTGCTCACTTGATGGTTGGCATCTTGCTGCAGGCTGTAGAACATTGGTTTCTACTCTCTGTGCATCTGAGTTTTGGTGGCACTTTACCTCCTGATAGAGGCCATGACCCTATTGTACCTGCAGACCTACCTAAGCCTGGCCAGCTGTGTAAGAAGATAGCCACATGATGCCTGAGAAAGAACCAGAGGTAGGTAAGCACCCAGGCAGGAGGACCCAGGGAATGAGGGGATCTAGATGTGTCCCCTGGCCTTCAGAAGACCTCCTGCAGCTTCCACTGCCTGCCCCAGCAGGTGGTTCCTGTCTACTGCTAAGTGACAGTGGTAAGCCTGTAGCATTGATGCAGCTCATCCTCAAACTGTACTGAGAGCTGGACCTATGGAGAGGGGAAGGCCATGACAAGAAACAGAGGATGAGAGTGAGACATATATATGTGGTTTGTCTAGACCAGCAGATACAAGATTAGAGCAAGGTCTTGAGGTGGGAAGGCTTGGGCTGGACTAAGGAATCAAACTCAGGTCTTCACCCCTTCCACAGCAAGCAGTGTACTGACCAAGCTACCTTTCCAGCCTCAAAAGGACCATTTTCATAGTTTCCATACTGGACACTTGTGTGAGAACCTCTTTGGTTTGCAAAGGCTTTCTTTCAGGAAGGAACTAAAGAGAAATCAGGGGGAAACTACAACAACAACAACAACAACAACAACAACAACAACAACACCATTCTAACCTGGTTATTGGCTTTTTGAATGTCATAGGACATTCAAACATTCAGATCTATTTATTGCTTAATTTCACAATTCACATGACTGTTGTGATTGTCATTTGCTCATGAGGTGATCCACTGAGCACTGTAGAAGCTAATGTGAGCCCAGAAGCAGTGTACTAAAAAGTGGATGACAATACACAGACCAAGGAGTTATAGTGCATGTGCCAGCACTTTTGAAAAGTGTAAGTTAAAGTGTAGAGAGAGAATATTATTTAGTTCAACACCATCAGTCATCCAGTCACAAAACCACAGGGGTAATGCACAAGTGTCCTGACTGGCCAAAGTTCCTGTGACACTATGGAGGTATAGTACATGCATATGTGCTGAATCCTAGTAGAAGGAAGCACATGTAGGATGTGGTGTAACCCATGGGCACATGCTTAACCAGAAAGGAAAACCTAGTCCAACCCTGAGTGTAGAAAGAACCATTTGGGACATTTTCTTTTCCTTTTTTGAGTTTGAACTTGAAATGAGGAAAACAGATCAGAATGTTGTGGGATATTTGTATGCTGTGTGAAAATGTATTGCTGTGATTGGTGTAATTAAAAAAAAGGAGCAGCCAATAGCTAGGGAGGAGGTATAGGGGGGACTTCAGGGCAGATTTATTTATTTATAACACTCTGGGAAGAAGAAGGTGGAGTCACCAGCCAGATGTGGAGGAAACAGCATGGGCTGTATGGAGAGATGAGGTAAGGAGCCACTAGATAGAACATAGATGAAAATAAATGGATTCATTTGAGTTATAAGAGCTAGTGGGACAAGCCTAAGCTAAGGCTCAGCTTTCATAATTAATAATAAGTCTCACTGTCATTATTTGGGGGATGGTGATACAGAGAAAGACTCATTTACACCAGAAAGAAAAAAGTAGAGGGCTGGGGCTGTAATTCACTGGTAACTTACTAATTCTGTACACTAATTTCCTGTTCCCCTATGCTCCCTGTGTCTCTGAATGAAGGCTGAGGCCTGGGAACTCTTGCAACAGGTACTCATGTGTGACACAACCTCCCTGGGTTTGTTTTGGTAGAGGTTGTGAAGAGACTGGTTGCATGTGGTGGGTGTCTGAGGCCTAGGATAATCTGAGAAGACCCTAGCCAGTGAAAGGAGAGCTTATTTTCTCCCCTAACAAGCTGACCTCTGCTGCATCTTCTGTGCCTCCAGGTGCTGGTAGTGCTGTGTAGGCTGCAACTGGCCATGACCTACCTAGCTACACTTGCAGGCCTACCTATGCCTGGCCAACGCTTGTGTGGAACAGCTGGGCAAGGAGGTTGCAGCATGGAGCTGGTGAGATATAGTAGCCATAAATGTTTCAAGTGGGAAATTCCAAAGAAGTGATAAAGTCCCCCTATCACAGAAAGAACCTCCCCCCACATTCCTGTCAGCCTCCATCCCCCAGGTAGTCCAGGTCTACCACTGGATGATGGTGGTGGTCCTGTAGCAACTGAAACTGATCATCTTCATGCTTCACTACTTGCTGTTGATCCAGACACTGGGTGATAGTTTTCTAGAAGGATCTTTGTCTGTTTTCCCATGAAAAAGTTGATAAATTAAAATATGAAGAAACATCTTCAAGGAATAAAATCCCATAATTATCCTATTTCATGGACTTATGTAAGATTTATAACATACAACAATTAGGAAGGTGT